AAAAAAAAAAAAAAAAGATCATAGTTTTGCTCTCATGGACTTTTTAACATTTTCTTCCGCTTCAGCCTGAACTTGCATATGAGCCACTGATGGGGTCTATTCCACCGTCTGCCCTTGGCCTAGTTTTGACTGATGATATGAAGCTTTTTCACAGATGCAGTCAATTTGATTTCTGTCTGTGTATTCCATCTGGTGAGGTCTATGTGTTACTCTACTCGTCTTTTATGCTGTTGAAAAAAGGTAATGAAGACGTCATATGGCTTGTAAAATTCTATCACGCAATCTCCATGATTCTCCATGTACTTTTCCATATTTTCCAAATTTCCTATATAATGTATATTGTTGATATAATAATGAAAAAATATTTTAAGTGATTTATTATGCCATAATACTCAGTACTAGGGAAAACTCTGTTCAACAAGGAAATCCATCTCCCCAATCCCACAAAACCCTGGAAAGTACACATGATCCAAACTCCGATTACACTCTACCCTCAGGGAAACCCAAAACAGGAGCTCCCCTTGGTTGTGGAAATGTGGAAATGAGAAAGACCCTGTGTCCTTGTGGCCTCAGTCCTCCAGTTGTTGCTGCATCTGGTGTACCAGGTGGGCATAGGGGTCCTGCTTCTCTGTGAGCTGGGCATGGTCCTGCAGCTCCCCCTGCTTGAGCACCAGGATCTGGTTAGCACTCTGAACAGTCTCCAGCCTGTGGGCGATCACCAGCGCTGTTCTCTTCCCACGGGCTCTCCAGTCTTGCAGCTGAAGAGGGAGGACAGTGATACCTCAGAAAGACAGGAAATGGACACCACACCCATCTCTGGTGGCTTAGCCTAAGCAGTACCAGTTGAGCAGACTCTGGTTCACAGCAACCCCATTGTGTCCGAGTAGAATGGCTCTCTATAGGGTTTTCAATGGCTGATGTTTTAGAAGTAGATCGCCAGGATTTTCTTCCAAGACACCTCTAGCTGGACTTGAACTCCAACCTTTTGGTTAGCAGTCAAGTGCGTTAACTGTTTGCACCACCCAGGCAAAGGCGTTAGCTCAATCGGTCATGGCAGTCAATGTGTGTCAGAGTAGAACTGTCCTCCACAGGGTTTTCAATGGCTGCTTTTTTGGGAGTAGAACACTAGGCCTTTCTTACAAGGAGTCTCTGGGTGGGCTGAAATCACCAATCTTTTGGTCAGCAACCAAGCATATGAACATATTAAGTAGAGACTTCAAGCTAAAATCAATAAGGCAGGAAACATGACGGTAGGAAAGAGTAATAGATGAAGGCTTACATTCTCTCTACTTGTAAGACTGCAGTTGGAGCAATCAGAGATGTCCCCACCATTTTCTCTATTCCATTCCCCATCATCAGTCCCCACTCCTAAGAAGGCAGCACTATTTCTACAGTTGGACCATTCAGTCTCCTTCTACCTAATTCTGCATATGCTGACCCTTCAAACATGGACCTCTGGGTCCTACTCTCACCTGCTCCCCCTGCCCAACTTAAGCTAGTCCCCGGCACTCACCGCCTGCTCACATTCAACGTCCAGGGCACTGGTGGCCTCATCCAGAATGAGGACCTTTGGTTCTCGTACAAGGGCCCGGGCAATGGCCACACACTGTTTCTGTCCCACAGCCAGCTGACTTCCTTTCTCACCTACATCTGAGGAATTCAGAGAAACACCTCAACTCAGACACAAGTGGCCACAACAACATTCTTCACCATGAATATGAGCAAGCGCACAACTGGTATTTCCACAGAACTAGTTAGGAGACGTGAGGTATAAAAGAGGGTCATGGGAGTGGGGACCTCACAGGGCTGCCTGTGTGGAGAAAGCACTACTTCTACATGACTCTCTAGGAACAAAGACTCATGAACAAAAAAGAGGTTAGAGAATTTATGGGGTTGGGACGGAGGGGAATGGGAATAAAAGAAAAAGACAAATAACAGTAAACACGGAGTTAAACGAATACGCTCTGTGAGACCTCACCTTCACCCCATGAGTAAGTTCCATTTTTGCATTCGATTGAAGGGCGGGCTTATAATTTACAGAATGTACCTGTATGTATCCCGTGCTCCATCTCCGCTATGAATTTATCTGCATGGGCATCCTTGGCAGCAGCCATAACCTCCTCATCCTTGCAGTTCTCCAGCCCATAAGCAATGTTGTCTCTCACGGAGCCTGAGAAGAGCACAGGCTCCTGCCCAACCAAAACTACCTGGACAGCGGGAGGCAAGCAGAGGGTTCTGTGTAAAGGCCTCATGACACAGACTCTCCTGCATGTCTCCCCTACCTCCATCCGAACAGACCCTTCGTGTTGTTACCTATGAATCCCCCATCATTCTCCTTGTGAAGGTTTCTTCTCTCCTACACCCATCTCTTCTCTCCCTCCCACCCACCTTTCTGTGCAGGTAGCGGTGCTCGTATTGGGAGATGGGCTCCCCATCCAGCAGCAGCCGGCCCCCTGTGGGCTGGTAGAGATTCTGCAGCAGGGCAGCCACTGTGCTCTTCCCAGACCCATTGGGCCCCACCAGTGCAGTCATCTCACCAGGACGAAGGGTGAACGTCAGGCCCTAGAAAAAGTCAGAAGAGAGTTAGTGGCTTACCTCTTCTTCCTTCAGACATGTTCCCTGTTTTTCCCCATCAGAGGCAAGAAACTTCTCAGGAGTAAATGATCTAGAGACTTTGATGCACCAGGGAACAAGGGGCCCAGGATTCCTCTCTGTGCCCTCTTTCAAGCACCTTGAGCACAGGCTGGTCAGGGCGATTGGGGTACGCAAAGGAGACATCTTGGAATTCCACAAGCCCCTCCACTTCGGAAGGCGCCAGTGTCCCTGATGGAGGCAGGTTTGGTTGGCGGTCCAGGTAGCTAAAAACCTTCTCCGCAGCTCCCACATTGCTCAGCATATCTCCCCACATGTATACCAGGCTCTGGAAAGCAGAAATGGAAGTTTAGCTAATCAAACATATCCTTACCAGAAACAAAGTATCTAAAGCAGCCAATTTCTCTACTCCCCTGCCAGGTTCACCTACAACCATGCTCTTCCCACTCACTCTTATGCAAAAAAGATTTTCTACCTTTCAATGTGCAATTTGGATGGGTCTGATTGGATGGGACTTCCTACATTCTAATTTGCAATGCAAAGGAAAGAGAAGTCATACTCATCCCAACATCATTTCTGTCCCCAGACCTCTTCTATTCTGGTTTATATTCATGCCCAGCTCTGTTTTGTCTGATTAGACAGAAAACGCCTTAAAAATAGGCTGTGTCTACCTCCTCTTTGCACACACTAAGATGCCTAGCACAGTTCTCCACACTGAAAAGATGGTTAACAAATGTCTAGGGAAATTATAAACCAAGCTCAAGATAAAGTAATTATTTTTGAAAACTGGTAAATGTTGTTAAGTATTGTTGAGTCACGTCCAACACATAGTGACCCTGTATAGGGTTCCCAAGAAACATCTGGTGGGTTTGAACCACCAACCTTGAGGTTAGCAGTTCAGTGCTTATCCTACAGTGCCACACCAGGACTCTAGCTAAATATAGGAAAAGAATCAAATATTTATTCTGCCTTCCCTGGTTATATTATACCCCTAGGGTCACCAAATAGTATATGAGGGGAAGTTCCAACTCATATCTGTAGGGATGTACTATATCACAGCTTGACAGCCCTGGTAATTTCATGGATTTCAGTGTTGAATATCAACAGCTGGAAACATCACAGAGAGGATCAAATCTTGTGTACCTCCTGAAAGTAGAGCACACCACCAGTTAAGAAGTATTCTTGTCCTTCTTTGATGTTGTTGTTAAGTGCCTTCGAGTCGATTCCGACCCATAGCGACCCTGTACAGGGTTTCCGAGGCTGTAAATCTTTACAGGAGCAGAACGCTTCATCCTTCTCCCGCGGAACAGCTGGTAGTTTCGAACTGCTGGCCTTAAGGTTCGCAGCCTGATTCGTAACCACTACGCTACCAGAGCTCAAAAAAATTGTTTTTAATCTAACATGCTTCTGGATGTATCTATAAACTGTCAGGAAATACAGTGACAAAGGAGCACACTAAATAATCCCAAAGGAAATTAACAAAATCCAGACTATAAAAAACTCTAGAATGAAACACCATTTTGGTTGGATCTCTTTTGGAAGACACCTTTACGAGACTAAGACAGGTGTATTACTGAGAACTTGTCTACACCGATAGCAGAGACACGAATAAACACGTTTTGTTTGAAATAAATATCCATATATTCATGAACTAGAACCCTAGTAGCAATACCTTTGACTTACTCTCATAATATTCCATGTATAAGACAAACATATAGCCACTGTCTGGACATCTGATGTATTTAAAGAATTACTGTTAATTGTTTAGGTATGGTAACATTTTGTGCTTATATTTTTCAAAAGTGTTTATATTTTAGAAATCTATACTAAAATATTTGTAGATGAAATAATATCATATCTGGGATTTTGTTTGAAAATAACATGAGTGGGGAAGAGGAAGGTGAAATGGATGAAACTAGATTGGCCAGGTGTTGACCATTATTAAAGCAAGTGATAAGCACATTAGTCATCCTCTTTTCCCACTGCTTATTGTACAGAGAGAGCACAGTGGCTCTGTGCAATAAGCAATGAAATGTGAACCACAAGGTTGATGGTTTGAGCCCACCAGCTGCTCCACTGAAGAAAGATGAGGCTTTCTGCTCCTTCTGACTTTTGGGTCAAACCAACCTTGCATTCCAGTGCATTATACTGCAGCACCACACCAGGACTCCATATGTGTATATACACAAATGAAATTCTCCACAGCTAAGTGAGACTCTTTTTTAAAAAGGGAGTAAACAAAGTCCAAGGTATGGCACTGTAGGATCAGCATCTGACTGCAAACTGCAGGTCGGCAGTTCAAACCCACCAACTTTCTCCAGAAATCCTATATAGGGTCACTATGAGTGAGAACCAACTCAACAGCACTTAATGACAACAACAACAAGGTCCAAATGGGCTCAAACAAAGCAGCAATTGGGAGGATGGTGCAGGACTCAGTGGTGTTTTGTTCTGTTGTGCATAGGGTTCCTATAGGTCGGAAACACTTCTCAGAGGGTCGCTATGAGTCAGAACTGACTTGATGGCTCCTAACAACATCAGTAAGGCCCAGGAGGCCAGAGACAAAAACAGAGGGAACAAAATAATGCATATGAAGGCCTCACTCACAAACACATTGTTCCCCACATCCTCCTGGTAGAGCAGAAACGAGAGCAGCCCACCCTTCGTGAGCTCCCCGGCCAGTATCTGTTGCAGGCCACAGTTCAGCATCAGCACCTTCACTGCCAATTCCAGTAACTGTAAGAAGAAAGAGGTGAGGCTAAGAAGGAGTTGATCCAGTTTGCCCCCTTCCCTATCCCTATGGCATTAAACAGAACATCAGGACCAACCGCAGGTTCTCCATTCCTTCCCCTACCCGCTTCCCTGGGCTCTTCCCACCAGCTGTCCTACCTTCCCTGTCTTACCTTCTGGAAGAGCAGATACAGGGCTCGTTCCAGATCTCGTCTCCACCACAGCTTCCGGCAACGTTCAAGGGCCTCCTTATAGCGACAGACCTCATGCTCCTCAGCCCCGAAACTCCGGACAGTCTGCAGCCCTCCAACTGCCTCCTGCACAATCTGTCCTGCCTTCGCCGTAGCATCCTGGATCTCCAGGAGCACTGCCTGAGAAAGTGAAGCAGGAGATACAGGGCCCATGAGGTCGAAGACAGCAAATTTCTGTCTGATTTCAACCCCGTGCTACTCACCAATCTACCTAAAAGTATTCCTTCCCCTTGCATTCCTTCTAGAAGAAATAATGAGGGTGACTGAGGGAAAGAACAAAATAGTGAGTCCTCAGCACTACTCAGAGTAGAAGATACACGCTGTATTTTTGACCTTCATACACGGTCATTCATACCATCTCAGTGTCTGATGATGAAAGGCGGAGTAGTTTGCCCAAGGAATCTTAGTGAATTAAGAGATGGGGGAGCTGACATTCAGACTCTCTACATTCATTCAAATTCCTTCTATTGATGATAAGGGGGAAAATGTCTCTTCTCACATTTTTAATCTTCTTGTGGGGGAGGTAAAAATGGACTCCTTTGAGAATCTAATAAGTGTTACCTCGCTCCAGAAAACTGCACACACAGTCTCACACACACGCATAGGCACATACATACACAATTTTTCATACAGTCCCGGGACCATCTGAAGCCCATCTGTGGACTCTCACCCCACCCCACAGCTTAAAACTTCTGCTCCAAGGACTGAGATCTCTAGGAGAACTCTTCCCCTCTATGCTTTCTCCTCAAACATTCATATGGAATCCTGGCGTGGTGCTGTATGACAAGCACTGGACTATTAACCACAATAGGTTGGCAGTTCACACGCACCAGCTGCTTCTTGGAGGGTCATTATGAGTCAGAACTGACTTGATGGCACTAAACAACAACAACAAACATCCATACGTACCTGATGGCGTATAGTATACACTTTTTCGGCTGCTGATGAGATGGGCAAGTTGAGCAGAGAGAGGAGGGTGAGTTGAGGTGACAGGTTGAACATGAAGCTATATAGTCCCACCACTTGCACCAGGTTCCGTAAGAGTACATTGGCATTAAGAGTAAGCCATTTACTCATCAGTGTGGTATCAGAGCTCAGCCGTGAGTTCAGTTCCCCTGAGGGACACAGAGCAGGTGAGGAAACCAAGTGTAACACACAGCCCCCCAAAACTCCTTCCTGACTTTCCCCTCAAACATAGTTCCCTCCGCTAAACACTGACTTTGACTTGCAGAGAGATTGGATAGAGGTTGCCTCA